CGTCGGCTAATAATATTAGGGACTTCTGTATTTTTTTCCCTACAAGGCGCTTCCCTTGTACACAGCACATCACAGCAGGGCAAGGCGCTGCTGATCAGTCGGCGAGTCGGCACCAACGCACGCACAAAGTGTCACATCCTGCACACCAGCGATACCACATGCACAACAAGCACCTGCCCAGATACCCCCTCCCCTGCGTACGACACACCACAACCACACAAAACCGCTTCTCAACAACCAGTCAGGTAACAACATCGGCCCAAAGCATATGGATCGAGGAATACATACATACATATTCACAACAGCGATATTTTATGACATCTTTGAACACCCCTCTCTGCAGTCTTCAAAGCCAAGAAGGGGGTTCACCGGTTAGCTCGTAGGGGCTTGTTGGCGCGGGAAGTTGGCACGAACCGATAAGTCACAGGACGGATTCGCTCCGCCAAGGTCTGGGCTCTTATCTAAAGATAGAGTAATAAAAACTCTCTCTCTCTTGTTGTTTTTTTTGGGCGGGGCCCCAGCGCGAAGCGCCCAGGGGGGTCCCGACCTGTAGGATTGCCCATGTCCGTGTGTGTGTGCGTGTGTGCGTGTGTGTGTAACGGACCAAACATAATATCTCGCCCGGCTGAAACGCGTTATAGGTACTATACAGCATTCTTTATTGCAGGGTATCCCTTCGGACCACCAGACGGCTGGTTAGACCGAGGTGTCTGTTCGATTAGGGTAGGAACCCTGAAAGAGTGTCATTCCTTAATTAGGAAACACTTATTAATCTCAAGGTGTTCTTTGACTGTTCATAGATCAGTCTTAATCAACCATGCCTTCATCGCTTTGCGATTTGGCTCTGTAACGCTATAAGGCGCTACAACATCTGCCCCCCTTTCTAGACGCCTGCGTCCACGCGGCGCACAGTCCAATAGGCATCAATAAGAGATCTGTCGGGGAAAGCAGGTTCCTCAATCCAACTGTTATTCTCATGTCCATGACCAACCCATTTCACGAGGTACCGTGTCAGGGTTCGGTTTCGGAGCTTTCGTTCATCATGAGCTAGGATGCGTTTAGGTGTCCACACAGAGGTAGAACGTTCAAGTTCACTTCTCACTGTAGGTCGAGGTGGTAGTACAGTGCCATCGGATCGATAAGGCCGTAACAACGATACATGGAACACGTTATGGAAACGATATTCCTCTGGAAGGATCAATCTAGCAGCAGCAGGATTGATCATCATGATGATCAATCAAGAATGAGTGGCCCAATTTTTTGTTGGCTACAGTGACACTTCAAATTTATATGAGGGAAACTGTGATGATAAGTTAACTTAAGAAATTTTACTTGTTTAATCCGCGTTTGGGCCACTCATTCGTGACTGCTACCCATCTCAATCGTGAAAGGTCCAATCCATTTAGGCATCAGCTTCTTCGAACCTTTCTGAAGGGTTAAGTTCTTCGTACTGAGTAAGACTTGTTGTCCTCCAGTAAACGACACATCACGTCGTCCTTTATTCTGTTGCTTAGTCATCCGATCTTGCGCAGCCATCAAAGCAGATGTAGCAGCGGCTAGTTTCTTGGCATACGTATCGACGTAACCCTTAGCAACGGGAACTGTGTCACCGAGTTCGAGTTGTACAGGGGTCTTAGGATGATAGCCATAGTTCAGGAAGAATGGACTAACTCCTGTCGAACGATTTTTCGAGTTATTAATCGCAAATTCAGCAGGTCCGAGGTATATCTCCCTTTGTGAAGGTTCCTGATCACAGTAGTTTCCAAACATGTCTCCAAGGACGCGATTACTGTCTGACCATCAGTCTGCGGATGGAAAGCAGTACTCATCGCCTGCTTCACCTCTAGCCTCTTCATGAGAGAGGTCCAGAAAGCACCAGTAAACTTGGTGTCACGATCTGAGACGATGGTGTCTGGTAAACCGTGAAGCCGTACCACGGTGTCAAAGAATAAATCTGCAGTTTCTTCTGCATCTATTTCTTTCTTGCATGGTCGTACATGCGCCATATTAGTTGGTCTACAAACATCGTGGGTATCTGGTGAAGCAGCTGGTTTGGAAGCGGAAGGATTGAACGTACTGTTGTGTTGATGGCTGCCGTACTGGACAGGGCTCAAATGCGCATGCGTCAGTGTGGAATGTGAAGGGGGCTACGGCTCGTTTATATGAAGAAGAGTAAGACGACTGCTTGCAGTGTCCACTTGGACGAAGAGATCTGGTGTAGTGCTGGGCGCGTGTGACCAACAGGAAGTATCACTCATAGATGCCGAACGGAAAGAGCAGCTGCAGTACACGAACAAGAACTTTGCGTTTGAGTGCACAGTACAGCCTGCCTTGATGCATCTAGAGCTGGGGCTGCGCCCGCGCGTTTGATGACCTGTAAAAAGCGCTGTGGTAAAGTGGACGAGGTGGACGATGAGAATCCGAAACATGTATTACAAGGTGTAGCCCGAGCAGTGACTGCCTGCTTTCACGGACAAGAGGAATGACGGTTTGAAGACGGGACAGGGTGTGACCACCGGATATGTACTTGTAGCCGCCTAGAGCAAAGCCCTGCAGCAAAGCACGAGATGCTTGCAGGGCAACGGGTCATATGGATGCAGTGGCCATATTCATGCAAGAGTGTCATGACAAGCACACCAAAAGTAATGCAGCTTGGCCAAGTGGAGAACAGTAGTTATGGACTGTAGTTATTTCCAATTCAAGGCTTGCCGGCATGAATACCATCATGACAATGCCGGTTTGTCCCTCAAGGACACATCACGCATAATCTCTGCTATGCGGATGTGACTGCGTGCATCATGCACTCATTACTGGGGGTGCAACTGATGTGCCCTCGCCTGACATTCTGCTGTCGACCATGGTGGGGGCCATTGCCGAGTCTTGGGATGTAATGTGCTTCCAAGTGCTACATGCCCATGCCGGCAGCCTCCCCAGCACCTGCACGGCAGAGCAATATGGAGAAGCTCTACAGCAGCACCGGCTGCTGCCTGGTGATGTTGAGCTGACGGTTCTCGGGCGTGCTCTCAACATTGTGCTCACAGTGTTCAACCCGGCTGGGCTGCAGGTCTGCTATTGGGGCTCCAGCACAGCACCAATGGAGGTCTACCTCATTCGGCGGATGGGCCTCACTGGCACCCCTGCGTCTTACCGCCTGTTGGATATGATGCCGGGTGTGTGGACAGGGCAATGCCGCCAGCATCTGGTCGCAGCTTGTTGCACGGTTGGCCTGTGCATGTCAGAAACACCGTCAACCGAGCAGGCTGGTCACGTGTGTGCTGTCATGCATGGGATGGACAGCCACTGTGACTTCACTGTGCAGCAGATCTTGGCAGAATGGGCTGATCAGCATAGACCTGTGGTTGAGATGTGGCGGCTGCTTGAGGCGATACAGCAGTGATCACAGCAAAGCAGTCATCACAGCAAGCACCGCTGCAGCAGCAGCAGCAGGAGGAGCCGCAGCAGTGCAAGTGGGCCACTGCACAGCCAAAGCGCCAGCAGCACCATCGTTGATCCGAAATGCCATCGCCCAGTCCTGCCGTACCAGATCGTGAGTAACGTGTACCTGGGTACTTCAGAGCATCCTGGTGCAGTGGCCCGGGCCACAGCCTTGGCATCTCCGAGTGGCTGGCCACTTGGGGCACTGTCACAAGCATGCTGCTGGCCAGTGCACTTGTGGTGTGCACTGTGTGCAGTACTGCACTAGTGTAACCAGCACCAACCTCCATGATGACCTCAAGTGATGGGCCACTGTGCAGCCTGTCGGTGCCGGCATTGCGCCATACTCCTTCCACAACAGCTTGCATGCCGGCAGCATGACCACACCTGATGGCCTGTGGCGCCTGTGTCTGCACTGCACTCCCCTGCATCCTGTGAACATTGGCAATGAGCGGGCAGAGTTTTTGGTCTTCCATCCTCCAGATTATACCAAGGCCATCGTGTCACTCGACACCATCAACCAGCTGTGATTAGGCCTTGTGGACGTCGGGCTTGGATTCTTTTCAGCTGCCTATGGGTTTGTCACCGGCAAGCTTCGACAGCAGCATTGCATGGAAGTGCTGGCTTGGATTGGGCACAGGACTCCATGTGCTGGGTCAACATGCTGCCCTGGGCACTGCAGGAAGTGCTGGGATGGAGTGTGCAGCACAACCCACTTGTCAGGGAGTTCCTCACTGTGTCTAAACAAGTCCCGCCCAATCACCCTTTGCCATATCTGTCACCAGCCGACGTGCGATCTTTTGTCGCCAATGTACAAGCCTGCAAACTGCTCATGCTTGCCACCCTGGAAACTGCGGAGGCAGCATGCTCTCTGATATCTATGGTTGTGCCCTCAATCTAGACAGCAGGGTCATCTTAGGGTATACCGGTAGGACCAAGAAGCAGATCGTTTTATGTAGGTTCATGGTATATAGGGTGGTATACAGGCCTAGGCTGCTGTAGCTGCAGACCCCTGTAGCGAGGCGCGCTGTGTCGTGCGGCTTATCAGTGGCCGCTGGACTCCGGAGGCGGGAGGCAGGGGGGGAAAGACGAACCACGAACGAGTGGGGAGGTGGGGAGGGAGGGCGGGGTAAGCAAAGCCCCGGGTGATGCGGCTGCCGTTTGTTGCTGCATGGCACTGGTATTAATAGCATGGCAGCCACTGTGGCGGGACTGTGTTGAATTATCATAATATGTAAACATGCTGATGGGCCGACAATGAAGCATTGTAAAAGTATGACTGCCTACCTGCCACTGCAGGTTCGGTGCCCCCCCCCCCCCGCAGCCCTGTAAGTCCCGCCCCCCGCAGTCACACAAGGCTGCACAACTAACGGCCACCCCCTCTCGACAATCGGTTGGCCGGTCAGAAACAAATCAGAAGGGGGCTGAGGAAGCGCGAGCGAGGGACAAGTACATAAGGGCCCGTGAGGGCTCGTTACCGAACAAGAAACTACCACCTCGAGTTTTCTAGCACCAGCTCTATAGCACCACCACCACTACCACCAACACCACCAACGTCCTTTTCAGGATTTTGCCAAAATCGCCCACTTCAGCCCCCTAGCTGCAAACCCGCGGCACATCGCGGCTATCTCGTCCCCTCCCCTTCCCCCTCCTCTCCCTCCCCCTCCGCATCCCTCCCCTCATCAAAAACCTGCTCGTCCAACGCCCTGACCAGCTCCGGATTGCGCTCCCCGAGCAACCGCCGAACCACAGCCAACCGATCCAGCTCAGCAGCTAGCTCCGCCCCCTCACCACCCGCCTCAACATCAGCACCCGCCGCCCCCCTCCTGCCAGCCACCTCCCCCACGTCCATGTCGGCGTGTGGAGCAGCTCTCCATGCCCCAGCAGGCGCAGTCGTAGCAGCAGTGGCAGTACTGCTATCCGAGCCGTTTCCGGCAGCCCCAGGCGCAACAACGACCACGGCCTGTTTAGCGGCGGGCCCCTTCGACGGCGCTGCAGCACCCACACTGCGAAGCAACCCGCGAACCCCGGACGCTAACGGGAAGGTGATGGGCGCAAACGAGCCGCCGCCGCCGCCACCACCATCGCCGCCACCATCACTGGAGTCGGCGCCACCAACCGCAAACGCCATCGCACCTGCCGCCGCCGCCGCTACTGCGGCAGCAGCAGCAACAGCTTCCCCGCCCCTGCCAGACGGCCGCTGCACACCGCCACCTCCCCTCCCGCCGGCAGCCCCCTGCCCCGCCGCCGCCGCCGCTGCTGCTACCGCCGCTGGGCCCATTCCCGCGCCAGCGAGGAGTGCCAGCGCGCCCGTCAGTGGTGGTAATGGTGGTGGTGGTGGTGGCTGCGTTGTTGAGGCTGTGTCTTGATACGCATAGTTCGAGAGCCCCAGCCTGCTCCCCGGTCTGGAGGCGGACGTCGGGGGGTGTTGCAGGTCCAGGCTGTAGCTGCTCCTGCTGCTAGCGCTACTGCTACTGCCCGGGCGGAAGGAGGAGCTACTGCCGGGGCGCCGCTGGTGATGGGAAGCGGGGCGAGAGGCGGTGGTTGTGGGGCGAGCGAGGGGGGCCGGTCCGGGGCCCCCCGGGCCCAACCCGGCGCTTGTTACGGCGTGCGGGTTTCCCCCCCGGGAGAGCGGCCGGCCCTCGCGAATCTCCTGTGTGTGCCAGAGACACACACATACACCACAGGGCGCCGGGGGAGGGGGAAGCGGACAAGCAAATACACAACTTCAACGCAGCGAGTTGACGAAAAAGACAATAAATTTAAATAGAAGTCATCTAGAAAAAATAGTAGTTACATAATATTATTAAAATCATATATTTAAGAACAGTATTACATGGGGTGGGGGAAAAGAGGTTTCACCTTGATGTCCTTTCCAAGTACCCAGCACGCCCAGCAGACCCCCCTCGCCAGGACCTCGCTGCCCAAACCAAACCCCCCAACCTGCCCCCCAAACCCCCGGGGGGATTTGAATCCGGGCAAACCAAGCATGGGATATATATGGCAAAACAAACAAACAAACAAACAAACAAGCCCAAGGTCCCCACCTTCTCATCAATCAGCACACAACTTAAACCCCCCTCGAAACCACTGTCGTTCCTATCTCCTCCAGCATGCATGTCCCCCTCCCTCCCCCCCCCACCCAACCACCTGCACTCCCGCAGCCACCACGTCTAGAGACCGGTACATGGCGGCCGCAGCCGCGGGGGGCAGCTCAGACAGCTCCTCAAGTGCACTGGTCAGCGCCGCAGCCACCGCACCACCGCACCCCCCGCTGCTGCTGTTGCCGCCGGGATGCACCGCCAGCGGCACCTGCGCCGCCGCCGCCGCCCCCCCCGGTCCCACAATGTTAATACCCTGCGCCCCCTCCTCATCTCCCGCATCCACCAGCTCCAGGTCCGCATGGCTGTTGCGCAGGTCGGTCAGCGGCGACCGGGGGCCTCCCCGGAGTGTCTCAGGATCCCCATGGGGATGGCGGGGGAAGAGTGTGGCGCCGCCGCCGCTGCTGCTGCCGTACAGCTGTAACGGCTGCAGGTGCTTCACCCCCGCGGAGTGCCCTTCCGCTCCCACCCCCGCCGGTGCTCGGGGCCCCGCTGGGCCCCCCCCCAGGGTTCCTGAGCCCTCCGGAGCTGCGGACACGACGAGCACATCCACACGACCGCCGCCGCTTCCGGCCACAGCTGCAGCGGCCTTTGGTCGTGCCGGCCCTGCCACCGCCGCCGCCGTCCCGTCCCGCTGCTCCGCCGGCCCCCCGCTAGCTGCCCTAGGTCCCGCACCCCCCGATAGTGGTGCTGGTGACAGCGAGGACGAGGCGGAGGACGAGGCGGAGGAGGAGGGCGGCCGGGCAGGTGCCAGGCGCTGCAGCTGTCGCAGCGCCTCCGCCAACCCACTCTGCGCTTCGTACTCCGCTGCCGAGCAGCCGCCGCCACCCGCGCCTTCCGCCGCCTCAATGGCCACAGAAGCTGCCACCTGCAACTGGCGGTACACCGCCCGCTGGGCAGATCCGGGTCTGCTGCCTCCCGCTGTGCCCTCCCCCAGCGGACAGCCCTCCAGCCCGAGGTACCTGAGACTCCCGCCTCCCTCCGCTCCCTCCCCCTGCTGCGGCTTCACTGCGGTGCTGCTGCTGCTGCTACTGCCCCGTGCACCACCACTGCCGCCGGGTGCTGCACCCGCACCCGGGCTCTGCTGACGTCCTGACTGCGGTCCTGGTGTCGGAGGGAGTGCGAGGGAGCCCAGCTCGGGCGGTAGCGCGGTGAGGTTGTGGTTGTAGCGCAGGTCTAGGTGGGCGAGGCGGGTGAGGCAACCCAGCTGGGGGGGCAGGCCGGCGGCAGTGAGTGCGTTGTCCCCGAGGTGCAGCTCCCGGAGGCAGCCACCCAGACCCGACAGAGCCTGTGGGCGGTGTTGGGGGGAAAGGGGGGAAAGGGTGGAGGTTGTCGGTGGTACACACCCTGTAGTGGGGGGGGGAGGGGGGGTTTGGCACGGAGGCGCATCAAAGGGGAGGTGGGGGTGGGGTTAACATGTCGAGGACAGGACGAGGGGGGCGCAGGTGAGGAGAGAGACGCCGCTGATAGGTAAGGAGAGGGATTCGATGCGTGCGGGTGTGTGTGTCTGTGTGTCTGTGTGTGTGTCTGTGTCTGTGTGCCGCAGCCAGGAGAGGGAGATGATAGAGATGAAGCACCAGAGGACATCTGCGATGTCAGCAACACAACATACGGCATCGACAGGCCTAATCGAAATCTACGCAACCAAATCCGCAAAGGCCCTTTCTCTCACCTCCGGATGCAGCCTCTGAATCTGGTTGTAGTTGGCTTTTAGGCAGGTCAGGGCCGTGAGGGCACCCAGGCAAGCAGGGAGGTCCCTCAGCTGGTTGAAGGACACGTCGAGGTGGGTGAGGCTCTGGGGGTGAGGCGACCACGTTTACGCGGATGGAGGAGGAGGGCGGTGGAGCACAGAGAATGGGGGGAGCGCAGCGATGCTGCTGCTGCGAGAGCTGACAGTTGGCGGGGTGTCGTGGGCATTTTCGTTGGAGGAAGATGTTTCGGAACTGTTTCGGTCACGCGTGGTTTTGCGGAGAAGAAATGGAGTGGAATTGCAAGGAGGCTCTTTGGAGGACAGTCAGGGGTTGATGACAAACAAGCTTGCGGAGATACTCAGCAGGTAGACGCAAGGTTCTCGTCATGCTGTAAAACAGGAGGACAAACCCCGCGTGCGGAAAAGGATGTTTGGGCATTTGACGAAATAAGGCTATGGCCGGCCCCGGGCCCACCCTCTCACTTTGAGTTCTGAGAGCGCTTCCGGCAAAATGACCAAGCTATTCACAGATAGGTCCAATTGAAGAATCCCACAGCACGCGAATATAAGTTTTGGCACCTCCGGGAGCTGCCTGCGAGCGGAAGTGGTGGGTTGCTAAACCCGGCGGACGCTGAACTTCACAGGAGGTAGCAAGTAATCACCTGCCAGACAGGTACAGTTCTCCAGAGGATAGTGCGTCAGAAAGATCTGCTGCGTCCTGCGTGCGCAAAGAACTGCGTACATTTCAGATGCAAAGCCCGTGTGGCAAAACAGTGCCAAAGCAAGCAAGGACCCACCATGCAGCCACGCCGCAATCAGATTTATTCTAATACAGGACCTTGAGCCTGCAAAAGCCCTTTGCCATGATACGAGCAAGCCTTTGTACAGCACAATAACAGGAATCCTTCTAGCATGGCACCCGCACGAAGGATTACTAATATTAGATGTGCATATTAAAATAATTCCCCTTGCACACTATGTCTGGGGACGTACTCCGTTTTCCATGTTTCTTGTCAGCGCCGTAGTGCTGCTTGTCACCTGGTAAGCAGGTTTCTCTATTCTTCAAATACATGTGCGATTCCTGTTTAAACTAGTGGTTTCTTGTACGCGTCAACGACTACGACTGTACAATCTGACGAACATTTCCCAAAAGCTCTGTGTTTGGCACCTCTAGTTTGGCTGCTCTCGTTTGGCTCCTCAGCGTTTGGCTGCCTTGCAATTTTAGCGCATTAACGCTGCCTCCTGTGTCCAGGGTTTTGAAGGTATTATTTGGTATGGTAATGGACGTGCGCGGACTTCCAGGTGGGAACGTCTGGGGTTGGCGCGCTGCCGCCATGGAGAAGAACTGGTGGGAGGTTGCCAATGACAGGAAGCCTGCGGATCATGAGCTTGCCGCCAGCCTCGGCACGGAAGATTGCAGCAGCGCCCACAATCCAGTGCCTCCAGTTCCGCAATGCGCCTGCCTGCAATGTGGCACTTTCATACCAGTACCCAAAACTTGCGGAAACTGCAAGCTTGCCACTTACTGGTGAGGGCACTTACTTGGCTTTCCCTGCACTATCACGGGGCATGGCGGGAAGTGAGCTATCTCTTCGGGACGCTTGCCTTCGTTGCCAGGTCCTAATCCCAGTACCCGGCATAGCCTTGAAAGTTACGCTATTTACCTTTGCTTCGGATTGCTTCCTCGGCAGCTGATCGGCGATCGCTTGGCTTCCCCTCCCCCCAACCGCGGCACCCTGTTCCGCTCCCGCTCGGCTTCGTAGGCATATCCTATCCTCCCGCCTATCCGCCCGCCCCTCCAACCTTCACCGCATCATCAGGATGCGCACTACCCCCTCTATCATCTTTACCCAGCCCACCATCATGTTCCTATTTTCATACTCCTCCCCACCATCCTCCTTGCAGTCCGCGCTCTCCCGTCTTTCGCGCAGCCATTTCCTCCCCTCCCCCCATCCTGCAGCTGCCCGCACCATCCTGTTGTTCCCCACTACCACCCGCCCCTTCCCCACATACCCTCCCGGCAGCTCGCGGGAGTGTCAGCGGCAGCACTGGAGGCGCCACAAGCCTCAGTGCGCCCGATTGCAGCAGGCCGAGAGGGACAGGGCCGCCCGGGGTCTGCCCCGCCCCCCACCGCCCCCACCGGACCCGCCGCTGCAGCTGCCCACCGGCCAGGTGAGGTGCGGGCCCAGGACGAGCCGTGGTAGCTAAAGGAGGAAAGGGCAGTGGTGGGTGGCCATCCAGGTGGTACATCAATAGCAGCACAGGGGGAATAGGGGCGTTACCGGTTTTGTCCCTGTCAGTTCAAAAGCGGGGGGGGGGGTCAGGTCAGCCAAGGGGGGGCAGTTGGTCAGGGTCAGTGGGGTGGGAGGAGGAGGTAGATAGGCAGTAGGGCAGTAGGGGGCGAGTAGAGCCAGTGGAGCTCTGGCCCCACATGTATGTTTGTATGTTTGTGTGTGAATGGCACCCCAAACTGAGCTGCCCGTTTCCTCCGCCGCCGCCAACGCCGCCGCCGCTACCATGGGGTGCTCTCCCTGTCCCCCTTACCCGGAGTCAGCCGGTCTTCAGCCGCCACGGCTACCGGGCGCTGCTGCTGGCGCATCGACTGGGGAAGCAGGCTGCGAAAGCTGCCTCTCAGGCCGCAACTGCTCACCCCACCCTCTCCGCTGGACCCGCTCCCCTTGACGGCTACTGGGAGGCGGACCAGCGCGCAGAGGAACAAAGGGCCCGGCACCTGCAGCATCCGAAAGGCAGTGAGGTGAACTGCAAGGGTGGCCAGCTGGTCGGCTCCGAAGCCCACATCAGTCGGGGGCGCCAGGGGCAGCCGCCACAGCAGCAGCAGGCGGAGGAGGGCCAGGGCGGTCAGCGGTCAGGGCGGCAGAGCCCCTGCACCGGTAGCTCACCCCCCCCCGTGTCCCCCGCTCCCTCGTCGGTATCGGTGTCTCTGGGCGCGCCAGCTTCCTCCTCCTCCTCCTCCTCCGCGGCCGCCTCCTCCACATCCCTGCCCGCCGCCGAGTCCTCCACCTCCCCGCTGCCCTCCTCTTCCGCCAACTCCTCCTCCGAGGGGCCGCTCCTCCCCGGGCCACAGCAGCAGGACCGTGACCGCGACCGCCACCATCAGCAGCACCTGGTGAAGAAGGAGGAGGGGGAGGGGGAGGAGGGCGACTTTGAGGACTTGAGAAATGAGTGGCCCTGGTCGTGGCCCGTGCCACCCTCCCCCGCGCTGCTGACGCCGCCGCGCCCTGCCGGAATACTCAACAGCGGTAACTCGTGCTACGCTGCCTCTGCCGTACAGGCCCTCCTGGCCACCCCAGGCCTTGGGGAGTACCTTCGCAGCGGGGCGCACTGCGGGGGTTGTGTGGCGCCTCGGCAGGGGGAGGCGCCCGGGGGCCTGTCGCGGTAAGGGGCGGGGTCGCGAAGTTGGTGATAGGGGGGGGGGTAGGGGGGATTTCGGCTGGCGGGGTGGCTGTTACCCTGTGTCGAACTGTGTCGGTAGCTTTCCCTCCTTTTGGGGATCTAACCCCGAATGGCGGCAGGCGGGGGAGGGGCCTCTCCCCACCTCGTTTTCCCCCCTCCCAAGCACCCCCCCCACACCCTCCCCGTCTTTTATATCTATCTCCCCCTCCCGCCCTCCCGCCCTCCCACCCCGTTCCAGGTGGTGTCCAGCCTGCGAGCTCTCCCACATCGCCGCCACGGCAGCCGCCCGTGTGGCCGGGGAGGCAAGTACGACACCAGTGACAGCGCCAGGGGGGCCTGCTGCTGCTGCTGCTGCTGCTGCTGCTGCTGCTGCTGCTGCTGCTGGTGCTGGTGCCGCCAGTGCACCCGGCGGCCCCCACACCGGCGCCACCGGGGCTGCCGCCTCCACAGCAGGCCGGGGTGTGTGGTCCTGGTCCTGGTCGCGGCCCCGGAACCAGGCGGCTGCTCAGGCGGTGGACGCACGTGAACTGACACGGCATGTGTTTCGTCTGGGCAGGACGCTGGTACCCGGGCGGCAGGTACCGGGGGCGGGGGTGTGTGCGGGGCCGCGGGGGTGGTGGAGGGCTGGGGACTTGGCCAGGAGAGAGGGTAATGGTGGGAGAGGTGCGGGTCCCCGTGCTTTCCGCTGCCCTTGGCAGAAACCTCCTCCTTGCGTTGCGCCCTGCCTCCTACCGACCGTAGCCACCTCCCTCCCCTTTCCCTTTCCCCCCAACCTTTTCGGACCGCTACGGCAGTTTGGTACGTGGGTTGGTCGGCAGTCGCGCCTGTCCGTTGTACCCTCCTTCGCGTCCTGCGTCATAGCGGAATGTTTCCCCTCTACCTCCCCTACCAGCCCACCATCACTCTCCCTCGGGGATCCTCAG